TGCGGTTTTAGCAAATTGTGCAGTTTAGGTGGAGACGATGCAGCGACAAATCAAACAGGTCATCCGTAAGGTCAAACAAAGCAAAACTCTGAGGGAAAGCAGTGTTGGTTTTGCCAAATGAATTTTGTTGGTGTTTCTCGAGTTGTTTGCTTTTTCCGGTTTCTCCTGAGTTTGTTGTTGTTGTTTTGTGCGTTAAAACAGCCATTGGGGAAAACCACGCAAACCAAAATTCCACGAGAAAACCAAACACGAAAAAGCAATGTTTTGCCGAAGTTGTATTTGTGGTTTTATCGTGGTCCGTTTTGGTTTTCCTCCAGTTGTTTTTGCTTCTTGTGTTAAAACCAAAATACTCGATGATTTGTTTATGTTCTTGCGGTTCTGCTGCTCCTGGTTTTCCATCAATAAATCCAAAACTCAAAACAATCGAGCTTTTTCTTTTCGAAGAAAACACAACGACAGGGAAAACAAAAGCAAGAAAACAAAGCTTTGAGTTGAGTTTTTGGTTGCGTTGGTTTCTCAATTTTGTGTGGTTTGTTCAGTCTTTTTACTGGTTTTCTTTCGTGCTTCTTGTTATTTAGCTTATCCCTGTCTTGGGCAGGTTTGTCATTGCCAGACCAGTGAGCGATCTTCTATATCAATCTCGACTTCGACACGTGGCTTTCAAGTCTTGGCCCAAGCTGTTAAAAAGCTCCTTTTGAGGCTCCTTCTCACGCTTCGTGCAAACGTTACTTATAAGGTCTCCTTGCAAGGGTCCTTACCTTGCACGGCTCCTTATAAAACTCCTCATAAAGCTCCTTGCAAAGCTGCTTTAAGACTCCCTTTGAAGCTCCTTCAGCTCTGCTTAAGGCTCGTGAACGTGCTCCTTGATGAAAAGGCTCCATGTCAGGCTCAGAATTGCTTTACGAAGCTGCTTGCAACGCTGCTTTTGAAGGTCACTTGTTGGGCTGCTTATAAGAATGTCTTATTAATCTTCCAATAAAGCTCCTCCTTACACGAATCCTTATCCTCCTCATCAGGCTCCTTCCAAGGCTCCTTGTACAATTTCTTGTCATGAAGGCTAAATCCAGGTTCTTATCAGGCAAATTGAAAAAGCTGCCTGTACTGCTCCTTACAAAGCTCCTTAAAAAGCTCCTCCATACCAAGTTGAATGATATTGAAGCTTAATCATAATTTAGATAGCTTGATTAAGACATACTTCAACTGGGATTTCTATGCTGAATGAGAATTAAAGGGTAACTCCTTTCCACATGTGATGGGATATGATGAGAAATTGGCATTAACTGTAAGAACATGCATCGTGTTGAAAACGAAACGAGTTCCGTTAGACTTCTATCTTCAGTTAGAATTTAAATGGCACGTCCTTTCCATGAAGAGCACTCAGCAAGGAAATGATTGAAATATATTTCATGTAGCTCCTATTTGGAAAGGATTTGTTTCGAAATTAGGACCCACACTTGGACATTTCGAGAATTTAAATCTCAAGATTCCAGATTTACCATCCCCAAAAGGCAGTAAAACCAGAATCAATCGGGGGGGAGTTACATATATATATATATATATGTATGTATGTCCTTGTTTTCCCGTGGTTCTAAAGGGAATCTTGCACTGGACGTACGAATTGTTTTTCCAGGGGCCGTATTCGATGCAGAGCTTCCCCTCGCTCCCGTCCTGTCACAAGCCAGGCGCCTCAAAGGCGTCCATGGCGAGGTGGCCGCTTTGCGGCCGTAGCTTCTGGGAAGCTTCTCGGCAGCGATTGGTCGAAAGGTCACAGCCTCTACGCCTAAATACCCACACATAGGTGTCCTTTTTGGTTGTTTTGGTAGAAAAAATGTGATTTAGTCATCTGCCAGGGCCATCTATTGCCCTAGAAGGACACCTATGTACCCACACATACCTCACTTTTTCCCAAAGGGGGCAGGGGGGGGTGCAAGGGCGGCGGGCCTCAGGAATTCTCTGAAGCCTAAGGAACCCAAGAGCTCTCAACTACCCAACCCCTGGACCTACCCCTCTTTCAGGGTTTGATGTTCACCCCTGACAAAGGCTACGGTATTTACCATGAGAAAGTCTTTGAAACATGAAAATGCAGGCTTTTGCAAGGGGAACCCGAAAAATGGTTGGGACGGGCGGGCGGTTAAAGCCAATCCTGAGAGTTCCTGACTCAAAGAAGTGAACCTTCTTGTGGTTGGTAAAGGGGAACCAAAAGCAACAACATCCTTTCTTGGATAGATAAAGACACGCCCGCGTGCTCAGGGGGTACCCAAATTTTGAGGATAAGACCCATTCTTAGGGTTTGTGCATTGCCCTGTATACTTTCTAACCTTACTGATATGTTTGGCTGGGAAAGGACGACTCCATCTTTTGTTTTGCACACTTCACGCAGGTAAGCCATCACGTTTTGCCTAGTCATTTGGTATGCTTATATGCGTTTATTGCTTTCTCGTTTTTGCTTCATTGGATGCCCGGGTGACTCATCCCAAGATCACGGCTTTCTGACTGCGGAGTTTCTGGCTTGAGACTTCGGCCTAAGCGTTGGCGGGTGTCACCCCCCACACCAGGGGAAAATGGTTGGCACATCCGTGTTGCCGCGGGGTCCTGGTTTGGGCCATCTTTTTTCTTGGGACCCTCGGGTGGGTTCCACAAATCAGTCGGGAGGGTGTCTGCGCCTCAACCTGTGTCTAGACATGTATGGGCCGGGAGTCTTGAAACAAAAAACACGTCTCGGATGCCTTTAAAGGGACACCAACATAACAACCGAAGCGATTTTGGGTGTTCCCCAAAAAAGGACAGCCGTATGCAACTTCCCCCTGGTGCTTGCGGCCAGACATTGAAGTGGTTCCGTTCATGCGCTATTCTTTGGGTCATATTGTGAGCATGTGTGGACTTTGTCCTTTTTTTGTAGGGTCATGGACCATGCCACAGGATCCTGGGCTCTCATTCTGTAAATGCAAGCTCATCTTTGACTTTGCGAGCTGAGGTTTTTTGCTGGAGTCAGCCGTTTGAATCAGTCCGGGCAAATTGCGACTTCGCAATATACTTGATTTACTCTGAATTTCACCACCGTTAGTTGTTCCAGAAAACGATATTGATGCGTTTGTTTCTTGTGGGTTTCACCTGTTCTTCTTCCTCTTGGTGCTTCTTCCAGTCTCTCAATGTTGCGTTGTAATTTGCCCAGTGTTTCGGTGAGAGATCACCCATTGAACTTTGTCTCACCGCATTGCCTCGCGGCAGCGCCCGCCTGGCAATGCATTTGCACAGAAGCCCAAGGATGCGCGGAAGGGCGCTTGGGAGAAAAGGCGAGCCAACTTTGCTTAAAGTCGCCTAGCTGTCTCCGCCCAATCGGGCTAAACCCCCTCTAAAACGACACGAAGCCTCCAGAGATAATCCGTCTTTGCACCTTTACTTCTGGAGATAGCTCATCTGGCAACATTTGTCAGGGTTTCCCTGGAAACAAGAGTGATTTCCCATGTGTGTCCCTCTTCAAATTGCTGGCTTATGGACAAAGGTGTGTTTTTCATTTGAAGAATGTGTGGCGTCCCATGCAAATGGGTGGTACAATTCTTCCAGTGTTTTGAATAGGATCACTTGAGAGGCGAGTGCCCTCATTGCGGCTGCAAGCCCTTTGGTATTCTGTCTTCAAAGCCACCTGACCTGGATTTCCCCACGATTGCGTGTGCTCGTGGCAGGTTCCAATTCAAGACAAGAATCCCCAAGGCATTTGCACGTGCAAATTTTGGCAAATCGCCAGGACGAGTGCACATACCGCAACACATTACTGAATCACCCTTGAAGGTGCTAAGAGCAAGAAGCCGACTTGCGCATTGGGGAAAGTCACAGACCCATCGCGCTGGCACAGCTTGGGCATTAGCCAGGCACCCAGTGGGCCCAGCATGCTGCTTGGAGTTGTGTTTACTAGCTTTTCATAGCACAGGTTCGCAATGTAGGACCGGAGGGCCCCCAGCCACCAGAATGGTTTCAGCACCGCTAAGAACCCCTTCTAAGACGCACTTGCCCAAAGCCAACTTTTTACCTTCTAGTTACCATTTTGACTGGCCCCAAAAGGTATCACCGTTGTACTGGATCCTGGCGACTGAGAAGAAGCTTCTACTTGAACCGGAGGGGCCCCTAGGTTTCGCCCAATGCTGCGACACCCACCCAGCAGCCAAGAGCGTTGGCTGGGCGGCTTCTGCATTTTGTGAATTAAGCATTCAGGAGCTCCTATCGTGGATGGACAATTTTGGATAGATGACATGCTATCAAAACTGGGACAAACCACCTACCAACTGCTGCAGGATGTTGTCCATCCACTTGGGATGGTTTGAACATCACCTTTGCGCCCCCAAACATATGTGAGTTTCCTTGTTGTTTTTTGGTGGGGTTTCAAAGTGTTTTGCAGACCCTTTTGGAGCGGTTCCCAGATCCTAGCCAGTAGACTTGCGCGTCAGATTGGGTCACATGACGGTTCTCACCTAGCAAGGGATCCCACACGATTAATGCAGGCAATACATATATATATATATTGGCAAATTTGGTCCATTTGGAGAAATGGTCAATGTGGGTCAATCTACATGGTTTGCATGCAAAAACCACGACCTGGCGACCCCCTGCACTTGTTGTTTGTTTTGTTTGTGGTTTTGTTCGTTGATCTCCACACAATCCATGCAGGGATTTTTTGTCAAAATGGGCCAAATGTGGGTATGCATTGCCTACATGGATTGTATATGGGTACGGTTGTCGAGTGAGATCCATGCGTGCACGCAAAAAAGCAATTATTTCGGAGCAGCAGCCAGAAACATGGTCAGGTGTGTCTTCTTGTTTAAAGGTACCCTTGGTTTGTGCTTTGAAAGGGCAACTAAGAGGAGAAACACATATTCTTTGTTGTGTGTGGTCTTTTGTTTGGATGGGGGGGTGGAGTTCCCCGAACAACCGGGGGAATCTCCGGGGGGGGGGGAGAGGAGGGGGGGAGGGGGGGCTCCCCTACCCGGACGCGTGAGCCCGAGGTCATGTCGCAGGCAACGCCGGTGGCGAAGCTCCTGGAAACCGCCCGCTGCCCGGTGGATTCCGGTGGATCCCTCGGCGGATGGTTGATCTTTTTTGTTGGCCTACGTGGATTGGAAATGTCCAGATGGATCCCGTTTTCTCACTGTCAATAGGTAGGGTATCCACATTTGCCATTGGTTTGGCCTACATGGATGTGGGAAGGTCATCCCAGTGGATGGATCCCTTTTTTCTCCCATGCACTTTGGGGTGGTTGAAACGTCACCTCTTGGAACAATTGCAAGTGAGTTTCCTTTTTGGCGGGCTGATGTTTAAAGAGGAAATATAGAGAACCCAGATCCAAGGTAATCCCAGATCCCAGTTGCAAGCCACTATAGACAACCAAACAGTTTCCGTTTAGTTTTTGAAGGCTGGCTTGTGATCCCAGTTGCCACCGCAGTAGGCAACCAGTAATTTGTCCTTCTGGTTTTTAAAGCATGGTTTGTTTGGTTACTTACTATACAGGTAAATGGATCCACTTGGAATATGTACCCCACATGTGCCATCTCTCATGGACTAATTTTGTGTTTATATATTTAGCCTACACTGATCGTGCGGGAATGTTGGGACCTACTTGGGTCTTTGTGGCCAAGTCAACCATGGGTTGGCAACCTGGTTACCCCGCGAGACTGCCGTTCAGCAGGGTTAAGGTTGTATCCCAAGCCAACTTGGCTGGACATCCAAGCAGCAGATGTTGAGAATGTAAGCTGAACCAGGAACCAGGCGGAACCGCTGGAGTTGCATTGAGCTGCGAGTTGCGTCCGCCGCAGAATCTCAGTGGTCCCGCGGCACGTGTGGAAGGTACGGGCCTATGAAAGCGGCAATGACATCCGACAGGCCTTGGAAGCTCTCGTTCGAGCGGGGAGGGTTGCGGTCGCAAATGTTTCTGGGGTGGACTTGGGATACATTTTACATTTTACAAGTGACTCAAAGTGAAGCAAACAGTAAAATATACATTCTAGAACCGGGCCTAACTCTAATCATAAGTTCAGGGTCTTAATTTTCCCAGTGATTCCGCTTGCCACCGTAGCAGGTGACCAAAGGAACCCAAAAGGAAATGGCTGGTTAGCTAACTGTTGCAGTGGCAAATTGGGATAGACAGGGTAAGGGATCGTGCATGAAACTCGCATTGGGGGGCTCGCATGCAATTCGACGTGCAGGGCAGACGCTTTTGCAGGCACATGTTCCGGGCGGGTATTTTTGCGGAATGGCCCGGTCCGGATTTTGCGCATGACAAGCCCCCGAGATCTACGGAACCTAAGTGGGGATCCTTTGAGGCTTGCAGCGCATAGAAGTGTTCCAAGGCATGCTGCTGAGACGAGCTAGCAGCTAGCTACAGAGTGCCTGTTGAGCTTGGTCTGTCTCAGGAAAAGCCATGGAAAGGCATGACCTTTACCCCACGTGAGTCACAATCAGAACCCGGGTAGAGAAAGGGTAATGGACCATCCCAACCCTCTATATGTATATAATTATATATATATATATTCATGTTTTTGGCTGTGGCTCAAAACAGTGGTACCCGTTTGTGGGCCCCTTGGAGGGAAACAAAGACCAAAACCTGCGTCACCCCGGCTCTTTCATGTTGAGCCACCTTCTATATGTTATCTGCGGCCGCCTTCTTAGATTCCTTACATGGGTCTGGGTTACCCATTTTTTGCACCGGGTTTTGCCTCACCTGTCGACTCGTCGCGTTTCGTTCGTTCCTTGGATCCGCAGATGGTGGCGACCTCCGAGGGAGGCCGAGCTTACAAGCTCCTGGTGAGGCCTCGGACACGGCCCGAGGATTTTGTTTTCAAGAGCCCAAGGAGGGCTCCTTAAAAGAAATTCATTTTGCAACCATTTGAATCATGGCTTTTAAACACCAAAATAAAGGGAAACCACCATTGACAAGTTGCAATGTTCAGGTCAGGTGTATGTAAGCATCCCTGCAAAGTGAGCGATGGAAGGCTTGGTGGCTTCTCCTTGTGAAGGCCACCAGACTTTTTTGAGGGGAACAGAAGTCCGGGCGTCGCAGCAAACCACCGGGTTCTAGAATTCGGGTGGCCCAGGTCACGGTGATTTCTCATTCGTTCTTTGTCACCATGGCTCACTTTTTCTCCAAGTGTCGCTTGGGTTCTTGGTCTAGGTCCCCCTGTAGTGCCCTTTTACCCTTTTGTGTGGGAGGGTTCCCCTACTAAAATAGACTACGGAAAAAAAAGTTGGTACCCTTATTCTACCCTCTCAAATCTGGAGGACCTGGTGCCTGGCTGTAAAGGAGGATCTTTTGTCATGATGTTCCCAGCTCTCCGGGCCTTGGTTTGCAGTTTCTTTTACTTCCCAAGGTCCAGTCAGCCAACGCCCTTGGTGCTAGAACCCAATCCCAGACCACCAACTGTGTTGGCCCATTTGGGCAAATGCAGGCAAATCTTTGACCTACATTGCGTGGGAATGAGAGGGAAGCGAAGTCAAGAGATGTCGCGCTCGAAGCAAGGCCTCGAAGGGGGGTCGGTGCACCCCCGATCAAGCGACCTCTCTCCATTTGCCAGGCGAGAAGAGACCAGAGCAGCTGCAGAAGCTGAGAAGGTGGGACCGCCGGTCTTCAAAGCAAGAGTTACTTCCTGAGTTCCTGGACTTTAAAACTTTTGGGGAAACAAGAAGTTAGGACCTTTTTTTGGCCCATGCACTCAAGAAGTGCGAAGACCGCTGGTTTCAGTGGCGAAACCATGACTTCCGATTCCGATGTGATCAATCCCCTCGCGAGGCCATTGTGCACAAGTTGTGCTGGAACATCATTTGGGTCTCTTGTTTTAGGGAACCCCCCAAAAAATATATATATATATGTATAACAACAAAACAAAAAGCACACCCCAAATATATGGTGGCTTCCCATGTCCTTAAAAACCACCAAGACAGGGTACCCGCCAAGAATCAACCAGCAGACGAAACACGGACACAAGATGCGACGTGTGCCTGGCAAGGAAGGTCTTGCCACCAGGGTGCCGAAAAGCTCATCATCCAAAGGGCGGGCCCCTCTGGGTGTTGTGACTGAATGTGGGCAATAGAACGCCAGGCGTTCATGACTTAGATGTCATTTGGGATCTGAAACAGGGGTATGTACAAGGTTTTTGTTCAAGCCCAGCGATTCAATTCAGCCATATAGTAAGTAAACAAGGGTATGCCACGCTTTCAATCCAAATGGACCATGCGGAAGGGGTACCTACTACACTTGTAACTGGGATCCACTGGGAGTAGTATAGAAGTCTCCCGCCAGGCTAACATCGAGAACGAGACCAAGAAGAGAAAGTGGCTTCGCTGCGTTGAGCGCTCGTCATTTCGGGCAGTTGTTCTAACATGAATCCAAGAACTGAGCCACTTCATGTGGTTACATTATACTAGGCCCTTGCAAGCGTAGGCGAACCACCTACGTAGTTCAAGCCCGTTTTCAAAGGGAAGCCGCCCAAGGGAAGACCATACATTTGCCGGGAAGAGACGCCTTGCCGCTCGGATTCGGGGTTCCCCGTTTCTCTATGCTACACCATCCAGGTCCGACTAGAAACGCCCGTCTTTTCCATTGGAAGCCACCCATTTCCATGAGAAGCCACCCATTCTTGAAACGGGAACCACACATTTGTCCAGACCCCGTCGATGTTTTTAAGGGACACACGCCGGAAACCAACCACACATGTTTCAAGAGAAACCGTGGTAAACGTAATCATGGACTATAACTATAACAAACATGTTTTTTTTGGTGTGTGGCTTAGGTTTGACCCACATGGGCTCACTCCCTGAGTTGCTGGACTTTGGTGGTTTGGTTGCCATTTCAGTAACCAAACAATTGGGACTTGTTTGGCGTACATACGTAAACACAGGCGAGTTGTTTTTTTTCCTGTATATATCTATATATATATGCTCGCCCCCCCCCCCCCCCCATGATCCACGCCCAGCAGGTCCAACCATCTGCTATGCAGGGCCAACTTTCTGCTTGTCCAAGCAGGTCCAACCATCTGCTATGCAGGGCCAACCTTCTGCTTGTCCAACCATCTGAGATGCAGGGCCAATCGCGCTGGCAGGAGCAACTGTCATGCCTTACATGCAGCACATGCACCTGGAAAGCAAAAGCAGCATACTGCAGTTTTTGGCTGGCCTAGCAAATTGTTAGATCATTCGCTTCGGCAGACTCACTTATGTTTGCCACTGCCTTACATGGAGTACTTCCCCGCAAAGTTTTCTGGGCCCTCCAGCAATGGAGCCATACTCCGGGGCCAAGTGCCCCCTCTGGGCCTGCTTCATGGCCCACGAAGGTCGGTCAACTTCCCAACGGCTCCTTGGCCTGGTGTTCGAAGATCTTCTTTAAAGAAGGAGCTTTTTCTTGAAGTTCATGTTTGTTGGCCGTTCTTTGCCCGGTCTTTCTTTCCCCTGCCTGAGGCTCTGAAGTCTTTGAGTTCGATGGCATCCTCTTCAAGGTGGATGCTGTTGGCGAGACGGAGCTGGCCGCCGACGAGGTGCAGCTCATCATTAAGTGAGAGCCGGCAGCCACATGGCTAGATTTTCTGTGCCTTGGGCATTTTTCTGACACTGGAGTAAAAAGGACAAAAAAGCGCGCTGCCTGAGCAAAGCAAGTGTGTCAACTTGAACGCACATGGCCCTGTCTTTTAAGAAGACTACCTCCGCTTGCAAACAAGAAGTGTTGCTTTCTGCCTGCACGCACAAGGTCCTCCGCAAATTAAACAGCCATCCAAACAGGTCTGTCAAATGTCCCTGGTCTGCCGCAGCTTTCACCAAGCCAACTAGGCAATCATACTTGCATCCTCTTTGCTTATTGCATTCTTCTAGCAATGGCAAGCCAAGCTCCTCACCGACCTCAGTCTCTCGCTCAAAGCATGGACGCCGCCAATCTTGACGGGCGTTGCGCGTTCGAGGAGGCCACAGCCTGCACGGAGGGCATGAAGGTGCTCCAGCTGGAGAAGCCTATGGTGGTGCATAAGGAAGAAGGCGCCCTGGATTTCAAGGCTCTGGAAACTCTTCTTGCAACAGCGGTATGCTGAGTTGCCTGCGCCGGTCGGCATGAAAGGCAACAACCTCGTGCCTTACAACTTGCAGCTCTTCATTGTGCCCAAAGGCTCCAACAATCACGACATCATCAAGCACGTGAAGTTCGTGGACGGCACCAGGGTCCTGCGCAGCGCAATTTTGCGGATGTGCCATGGCCAGGCTCTTCAGGTCGACCTTCAGGGCAAGTTCAGGGAAGGAGGCCGTGCTCTACAGTACATGCTGGAGGGCTTAGGCGGCTTCCAAGTCCGGTATCAGAAGCTCGTCCCCGCCGGAAGCTCCAAAAGGCAGCCCCTGGAGACCGCCGATATCAGGAAAGGGGTTTGACTTCATTCGTGAGCAGGGGCCGGAGGAGAACAAGGGTCAGTTCACCACTTGAGAAGAACAGGTGAACGACCCCAATGGCCCTTTGTACAAATGGGACAAGGGGGAGTTTTTGCGGGTGCTCGCAAGGCTCCCAAGCGAACACCATCAACGACTGGCCTCTGACACTGAAAAGTCTGACTCCCTGGGTCCTGAACATTGTCATTGCCCCGATCCTGCCCCACGTGCTGTCACATGCTGTGATCTGGATTGGTAAATCTGTGGGGAAGAGCCCGGTCTCCTACGCCTTGTCCTCCGTGGTCTCGGCATACTGGTTGATTCAGGAAGACAAGAACGAGTCCCCGAGCTTCCAGACGGCCAATCATCTGGATTGTTTCCGCAAGGAGAAGGGCCGCAAGACGCAGCCCCGGGTCTTTGACGACGGGAATCTCAACCTCGAACACCCCGCTGCAGTCAAAGCCGTCACGGAGGTGGACGGAGTTGATCGGAAAACCATGGCCCGATACAACGCATCCTCATACGAGAAAAATCAGCTGTGCCAGATTTGCAGCAATCCTTACGACCGCACGGTCGAGCCGCCCATGAGCTCACATGCGACCTCCGACACTGTGCCATTTGACATCTTCTTCAAGCTTGTTCGTCCTTCCTTCCACAAGGAATTCGATGAGGAGGACTTGATGGGAGTCTTCAAGCGCAGTGTCTTTGTGGTCTTCACGGAGGTTGGCATCAACATTCGCTTGCCTGGCACAAAGCGACACCCCGTCAAGCGCCACGCGTGGCCGGAGGATGATGTTGGCATGATCTCGCCAGCGGCGCGCCCAACCTTGGCTGCCTACAAGAAGGGCAACTTCACCAGACCCCCTGCCAGCTATGACCAAGACCTGCAATGGAGTTTGAATCTGTTGCAGGCAGGGCTTGACGGGGAGGACGTACCCTTTTGCACCACCACAAAGGGAACAGAGCTCTTTTCTGGACGGAAATACATCGAGGAGGGGCGGCCTACCCTGGCTGGGATTGATGGCAAGACCAAGTACTATCTCAATGAGGAGCCTGAGTCTGCAACAGAACTTCCTGCGAAAAGGTTGCGCACTGTGAAATCCTCTGAAGCTTTGCTCTCAAGCAAAGTAGAACTCAAGACGGAGGAAGCTAAGCCCAAGACGGAGATGCCTGAGGAGCCCAAGATGAAAGTGCCTGAGACAGCAAAGAGTGAGGACTACTTGGAGAAGCCCAAGGTCACCATCAAGAAAGAGCCTTCTGGGACCCCATCGTTTTCTTTGAAGAGCTCAAAGCGGCCTCTCGTCATCAACCTCTCGGATTCGTCTGATGCGCCGGAAGGCAAGGTTCCTGAGGAGCCAAGTGTCCAGGTCAAGTCTTCCGCTGCGTCTCCTGAGGAAAAACAAATGGACAAGATCACAGAGCCGGAGATCTTTGATCCCATGGTGGACCTGCCCTCCAACAGCGACCTCGAAAACGAAGCTCAGCCTTCTTTGTCGCAAGAGTTGGCCATGGAAGTGCAGAAGGTGATTGGCGGCGAGGAGATGGATGTGGTCGAGGATTGAGATACCGCCCTAGAGATGCCTGACTGCCTGAGCTAAGGCTAGTTTTGATTGTAGTCTGTAGTGCACAAACCTATAAGCCGTCTCATGACAAATGCAAGGCCTTCACAAAATGCGCCCAGCCAAAAAAAGGTGTGCAGCATATGCATACATATGACCTCATGAGGAATGCTGGATAGGTGTTACCTTGGGATGACTCCATGACACGAAGAGTTGCGCGCAGTCTGTTGCTCAACAGCTATCCTGTGACTGACTCCTTTCGTTCCTGCCCTAATGCCGAAGGACGCCCTCACAGCAGGTGATAGTCCTATCTAACACAACAAAGGCAACCCCTCAATTGTGTTGTGTTTTGCACATTGCTTATAAACATGATGGTTGAACATACTTGTGGTGCCAAATGCTGGGCTCTAAGCTTTGCAAGGCCGTCTCCCTGTAAGGCCCTGTGTCGATTTCGGGGATAACCATGTAGGAAAACCCTGGTGCCCTTACTTTTGCACGGGGTTTGTGAATTGCACGGCTGACGCATTTGCAAGTTTGATGTCAACTGCAATTCTTGTTGAGGCTCGAGGGTTAGACCAATTGAAGTCATGGCTGTGGACTCGGTTGCGTCTTTTCAAGCAAGGGCTGCCGAGCTCGGCATCCCAGCAGTGCAGATCCAGAAGCTGGCCGCGCGGGATGTTGACACACATGCTAGGTTTGCATTTGTGTCTGCATACCAGCCGCAAAGCCCGGACGACCGACCTTTGCAGCAAGCGCTGCAAGATCTGTTAGGCGCCCCCGCCGGTGACCTTTTGCCAGTGTACCGAAGACTCTTCTATGAGTCGCACACTCTAGCAGTGCAAGACCTGTGCGCTAGGGTGGATCGCCGTGAAGGCCAGGAGCCCCGCAAATTAGCAATGCCAGAGAGACTGGATCGTTTGAAAAGGCTACGAGAAGCCTTGCCAGGTCTAACCATTGACGCGCAGCTGGAACCATCTCACAATTTGGTTGATAGGGTGATGGCAATGGCAGAAGAGCAGGCATTGACTTATGTGGACTTAGCAACTTGCACCTCCCGAGAAGCAGAGATCCACCATACCAAAAAAGCGCCGGCCTTCGAGTTCACTTCTGACGGTTTGCTCAAGTTGGGCAAAAAGACAGCAGAGCCGGTTGCCGACATGACAGGAGAACTGAGGGTTCGTCTCTGTATGCAAAGGAGAGCGTTGGCATTCCACATGGCAAATATTGCGACCTTCCAAGTGCTTGATGCCTTCACTGCCCGCTTGTTTGGCTTGCTGACCAAGGAAGTCGTGCCAGGGTTCCGACATGTGTCTGTGGCCCAAGTGATCGCCGCTGACCAAGCCCTGTGGCAGTTGGTCTCCCAAGAGACGCGAG